CATTAACACCATGACCAGCACCACTGACCTGCTCATCTCACTCTGTGGTCACCTTATCACAATGGTTACTTGCCCTCATAGTCACCCACCATGAGCACTGTGGGCCAGCACCACAGCAAGCTCTTTTTCCACCGTGACAAACACCATGGAGACTGGCTCCTATGGGCGCTCGCATCACTGATAGCACATCTCCCAGTGCATCCACACTGCCTTCTAAGGGGGTCTACACACCCTCTCCCCGTGGCCTCCCTTGTCTGTGGGGCTCTGGACCATCCATGCCTGACTGGGTGTCAGGGGACACTGACTGACTCCTCGAGCCCAGGATCCAAGCGTGGGGTCTCCCAGGAGCTCTGGGGGACGGGGACCCTAGACAGCTAAAGCGGGATGTCGGGGGGCAGTTGTCACTCTCAGAAGTAAACACCGACTGTAATGAATGGTGGGCAGCCAGGGAGCCACCATGGTATTTAACAGCCGATATCGGATTGTGCAGCTCAGCCTGGAACTGGCGCATTATGAAGGCTAATGGATTTTTGAGGCCAGATTGATTTTTCATTAATTTGGTAAAAATCTTTTTCCTCTCCTCTATAATTCTGTCTTAAAACGCTACCCCTGACAGCTCGATAAGTCACTCCCGCCTTAATGCACGTCTGGCTCGCGTCTGGGGGCCGATGGGGAGGGGAGTGGGACCCATGCTGCCAATCACTCCCTGCCCCAGGTAAATACTGCATTATGCATGGCCGTAGAGCCCAGCCACCCTGGGGTGGGCGCTCAGCGCAGCCACCAGGCCCAGGCTGCTGTGGGACCTTTTCCCTGGGATGGGCCTTGGCTCCAGGCCACCTGGCTCCTGAAATGACACAAACCTTGGGCAGAGATCCCCTTCCCAAAGTGGTGGTCAAGGCTGGGTGAGACCTCTGACCCAGAGGAGATGCCCTTGACCAAGACCTGCCCAACCCTCTCCTCCAACCCCTGCCTGAGCTGGGAGCATTGACCAGCGAGCTGCTGGGCTCCATCCTGCTGCACTCAGTGGTGTTAGCCCAGCAGTGTGGTGGGGGGAAGAGCTGGTCCCCCTTTTCTCTGCCCCCCCCGTAGATTGCCCCCAGACTTCTCTCCTGGATTCTTGGTCTGTTCTCCCCTTTGCTGCAGCCCCGCCATCCTCCCCAGAGTCTCAGGCGATCCCCGACCTCATTCTTCCTCCAGCCACACAGCAAGCTTCCGGGAAGCTTACTGGACATTGCTGGTCACCCACCGGTGTCCCAGGACCAACGGGTTCAGCTTGGGGTGACCCCACTGAGACCCCATGAAGTCACAGCCCTTCACGTCAGTGATGAGGTGATGCTGCTGACATGGGCAACGGTGAAGGGGGGGGTTAGGTGGCATGGACGTGAGTGATGGTGGGGATGGGGGTAGGGTAAGGATGCTGAGGAAGAGGAGGGAGGCAAGAGAGCAGGTGAAGCCAGGCGTGGTGGTGCAAGCGTATAATCCCAGCCTTCTGGGAGGCTGAGGCAATAGGATCACAAGTTCAAAGCCAGCCTGGGCAATTTAGCAAGACTCCATCTCAAAATAAAAAATAAACTGAGCATGATGGTGCACAGCTGGAATCCCAGTACTCTGGGATGTTAAAGCAAGGGATTGAAAATTCAAGGCCAACCTGGGCAATTTAGCAACATAATGAGGCCCTGTCTCAGAAGCTAAAAAATAAGGGAGACAGGTGTGGTAGCACATTTCTGTAATCCCAGCACTTGGCAGATGGAGGCAGAAGGATTGCCACAAGTTTGAGGTCAGTGTGGGCTACACAGTCATCAAGGCCAGCCTGAACTAAGCAGCAAGAGTCCGTTTCAAAAAAAAAAAAGGCTGGAAGTGTTCAGTCCAATGGTCCTGACTTCAATCCTCAGTACTGAATAAATAATAAGGTAAAATAAAATAAGATAAAATAAAATGGGGAATAGCATGAAGAAGACCCTGGGCAATCCCCAGCATCACAATTAAAATAAAAGGGGTGGGGATTCGATTTCCTGTACCATTAAAAAAAAAGTCCGGGGGAGGCAAGAAGGTAGAAAGAAGGAGAGGAGAGGGGAGGAGAGTAAGGTTGGAGACAAGGACATAAGGCTAAAGGGAGGGGAAAGGGGTTTCTCAGCAGAGGGAGCAGTGTGGAGGGGTCCAGGAGCTCAGAGTGCCACCACAGCTGCAGGGAGACGGGGCACAGGCTCAGGAATGGGGTGCTAGGGGCCAGGGCTGCCCTTGACACTGCTTCTCCTGTTCCAGAGCAGCACAGTGAAAGAGGCAGCAGGTGTCCTCTAGTGTGAGTTCTGCCAAGGTTTTGCTCCTCTCTTCAGACCTCAGGGAAGACCTGTGTGCTGTAGAACAGTCTGATGGATTGCCTCTCTCTTTTTATACAGGGTCTTGCTATGTAGTTTAGGCTGGCCTTGAACCTACAGTGTAGCCTGGGCTGGACTTGAATTTGCAGCAATCCTCCTGCCTCAGCCTCCCAAGTGCTGGAATTAGAGATGTGCACCATTAGGCCCAGCTCTGGAGGATCTTGAGCCCAGAAGAGAGTCTTGGGTGGTCCTGGCTTGTGTCCTCTGCTCTATGAGCTGGGATAAAGGCCCCACCAGGCCCTGTGGCCCCCTCTACCCCCAGCAATTTTGCTGCCCAACCCTGTAAGAGGGCCTGTCCCCATGGACAGCTGGCTCTGTCAGGGCAGGTGACAAAGGGTGCTCCTCTCTCTTCTGAGAGGTCTAGTGGTAGCTTTGTGGCCAGGCCAATCTGGCCTGGAGTCCCTCTTCTCTCAACCTGCAGCCAGACAGGCTAGTAGTGGGTGCCACCTTATTCAGAGACTGCACCGGGCCTTCACCAGCACTCCTTCTCCCACTGGGAAGCTGAGGCAAAGCCTAAGCCTCATCTTACCCCTGCCCAGCAGCTACACAGACGGGTTCCACCTCTGGGGAGGCCTCTTCCCCTTTCCCCTCTCTGCAGGGTCCTCCAAATGCCCCATGCCATGCACCTTGCCCTGCCAGGATTCCCTCACCAGGACAGGCTGACTCTGACCATAACTCCACTTCCTCACTGGAGTTTACTGGAGGGCGACTACATGGGGACTCACCTTCCTCAGACGGAGCTGGGTGGGCTGCGTACCAGGTGAACTCACAGATTCCTAACCACAGGCCAAAGGGCAAAACAAAATACCCAACTGAATGGGCCTGAAGGCATGTGGGTGCATGTTGGGGTGCACTGGGCTAACTTCAGACCCCTCTATGCACACCCATGAGGGGCCGAGCCAGCAGCAGGTTGGATGCAGGGATGAGGGGGCTGGCAGGGAATGAGTGACAGTCGATTGGGAAGGGGATCCCCCTGCCCAGTACTCTCCTTGCACACCTGCCTTTGGCTCACCCATCTATCCCCGACGCC